GAGCGTGTGGTACCACTCGTCCTCACTTAAGACAAAAAACGCTTGACTGAAACTATCCTGAAGATCTGTGCCCATCTTCATCGAGTGCATTTCTGTAGAAACACAGCAAGATGCTGCTGCTGCTGCTGCCGCTCCATGAGGCTCCTGTGCAGGTGGCTGTTCTCTGGCGGAGCTCGCTGCCCCCTTGGCAAGCATGACCCTAAGCCAAAAACATCGAAGCTCCACAAAAAGAGATGAGGCCACCGCTTCTCTGAGCCGCCACCGGCGTAAAGGCTCCCGTTCGTCGATGGGACACCCGGTCATGCGCGAGCGTCTTGGGCTGAAGTCCGGATGTGTGGGATTCTGTGACGGAGGCATTGGAGCCAAAGGCGCTGGACTTGACTGTGGCAGTGGGGATGTACATGTCGCAGTGCATTGCATGGGTGTGAAGTGCGGCCCCGGTCGGCCCGGCCCCGAGGGTGAGCTTGTCGGGAGCGCCGACCCAAACGTGGCAGTTGAATCGGAAAGTGTGGGTGGAGGAAGCGTGGTGATTGGCTCGCGGGATGTGATCGGCTCTCGAGGCATCCCGGAAGCAGCGGACAGCCTTGCACGAAAACCACAAACACCCACCATGGGACAGCTGTCCGAATGTCCGAAGTCACATGCAAGTGTTCGCAGACTCGGCCGTTCACGGTTGAAGTGGTGCGGCTGGGCACGCAGAGGGAAGAGGCGCAGAGAACTGCGAGGGTGCCTAAGTACTTGGATAAATGCCACTCACCCCTGCAGTAGTCATGATGCACACGCTCAGTTCAGGATCTCACGATGCCGAAATGCCGGCAGCTAGTAGCCTGCACCAGCACACGCTGCACGAAGGTTGATTGATGCCACGGCGTGCGATGACGTCGTTATGCTTTCAGCCACTGTTCATCTTTGAACATCTCTTGCTCTCTTTTCGAACCTTTTCAGAAACTTTCGGAGCACCAACGTTGTCAAAACCGCTCTGCTCCTCGTCCTGAGCTGCCCTTGGTGTTGACCTCCACGGCAATGGAGCCTCGGCCACTCTTGCAATGGATATGCCTGCTTGTGCACCGCGAGCTGCCAGAGGATTCTGGAACATGCCTGAATGTGGGAACAAAGTCTACTAAGCTTTTACCCATCACGCCCGAGCGGTCCGGGTGCCCTGCAGCACCTCTTGGGGAGCTCCTGACAGTTTGAACTTGCAATGCGTCGGAATGTCTGCAGAATTCTGCAAGCTAACATCCCAAACATGACTTCAAACGATGAATCCCGACATCTTCTCTCTGGTGTCCTGGGCGACCAGCCACCTCGAACTGGAGCGCTGCGGCTTCGAACCTGCGCCCTCGCGTGGGGCATGCTGAACTTGGAAATGCAGCTTCAAAACAACTTCCCAAAACCGAAGACCTCGCCCGGATGCCGCCGAGAGCCTCGGTGCTGGGAAGACTCAATGGAATTGCAGCCTCCCTCCTGTTTTGTTGTTTGCAGCTGCCAGCTATTTGGGGCATCTGTACAAGCACCAAGGCAAGCCTTGATCCGATTCATCCAAAGCTCTTAGTTTCCGGCAGGTCTAAGCATGGCGCAACTGGACGGAGGAGTGCCTGGAGCCTGAGGCAGATCCACGCGGTGCCATCACGGGATGTCGTCAAGTGAAACATAGTGAAACCAAATCTTGCACACGTGCCCCTCAACCAAGCAAGCTGTGCTGCAAATCTCGCAAGCTGCATGGCTTTGATAAATCAACTTTGGGTGCTGTTGGTCTGCAGTCTTGTCTGCTGCATCAAGCCACGGCAAGCATTTTGACAGCTGAGGTTCTGTCCACAGCCCCCCTGCGCTCTGGACTGGGGTCAGTTTCGATGCCTGGCGATGTAAGGTTTGTACATCGGATCAAGCGGGGGCAGATCTCCGATGGACGTGCCTTCCAGGACCGGAGCCTGTCTTGCTTGAACGTGGCAGGCGCGGCAGGTGACAGTTGGTTCAATTGCAAGGCTGAGAATCCCGCCCGGCCCCTCGCGCTAGGCTGACTTTGTGGGCGAGGTGTCCTGCCGTTGCCCAGTGCCGACCTCAGGCACGTCATGTCTCGGGCAAAGACATTTTAAATCAATCCGCTGGTCCGTGCCAAGGGATACGTGCCCAGCTGGGGCCAGAGCAAAGAACCAGTTCCTTCAAAGGCGAGGAAGAGGCTTGTGCGCAGCAGATCGTGGCATCTTAGAACTTCTACCATTCGACAGAAACGATGTGCAGCCACGGTGCTTGACATCAGCTCCAAGCTATTAGGCCATGTCCTGCACGTCCGAATGTGGTGCAGCAGCACAAGCTCCACTCTCTCTGCTCTCCTGTGAAGCTCCAACCATTTCGCCTCCAGCTCGCTGCTTTCCAATTCCACACACACACACACACACACTCAGACTCACTCTTTCTATGATCCCGGCCAGAGTCCGCAAGGAACTCAGTCCAACGAGTTGCGCTGACCGGCCATATTGCAGGTTGAGAGCCTGCGGAAGACGTTGATGTGCCACGACGTGCGGCTGTCCACATTCAGAAGCTTCGGCCTGGATTCCGATGGCTGCCACACTTTGGAGCAACTCTGGCCAATCCTGCTTGCAGATAAAACAGGAAGCTAGCATCTGATATTATGCTGAATGTGACCTGCTCTTCAAACGGCAGCAAGAAGTGGCGCACTGCCAGGCTTTCCAGGACCCGCTCGGCTATTTGCACCTCAACACAAGAGTTTGGACCCGTCATTTCGAGGATGCAGCTCCGAGTTGCCGACCATTTCCGATGTCCCTGACTTTGCCGCAATTCTTTCAGCCTGTTTGTAGCAGATGTCAGGTCGGAGCTGGAAACACTCTACCATGACTTGCCATGACCATGTCTCTTCCGCCTCCTGGATTGCAGCCTTGACCTTATACGGCTGAGGTCATCTGCTGCTCACGTTGCCAGCGAGACAGCCCACGATGCAAACGAAACACGTGTTGGAATGACACGTTGTTCTCCTGAAACCCCCTACTTGCCGCTCGCTTCTGACTGAAACGAACTGTTCTGCCAGCATGCCGCTCAAAGTCTGAAACTTGGCGCACTTGGTGAATACATCTTGGGTAACTCCCAGGATCCCGGCAGCCCGGCTGCAAACCACGCCACCTGAGCCACAAGCATGCCTACTCTGACAACGGCCACGGATTCGGTGTGCTTCGCAGCCGGCCCGAACCCTATTCAACACTCGGCCCACGCCAACTCGGCCAGCTTACTTCTCCAGCCCCAGTGCGAGCAGGCATCAAAGACGGCCCGGAAGCTGGTAACGCTCGTTTCCCCCCCACATTAAACGGGAAAGCGCTTGTACTATAGAAGGTCATCTGATCTCTATCATCTCTACTGCTAATTACTGTTACTTTGGGGAGGAGCTTGTTCCAGCTATGGCTCTTCCTGCTCCTGCTGCGGGCGTTGCTCTTGCTGCTGCTCTTACATCACCCTAATCCAAAACACGTTGCGAAAGGCGGAGACAATGTCAGGGGGGTTTCCGTTAGCGGGTGTTCAATAATAAACAGGTGCAGTGAATATGATCGGCGCTCCAAAACCCTGTGCACCATCTCGACGGCTTGATAAACTAGACCTCGCGGGGATGCGGTCGGTGCTGGGAGTGTCCAACTCCAAACAACGAATTCTGGAGACCGAGGCCCAGGCAGCGGCAGTGGAGCTCCGCCGGGCAACTGAAAGCCTCATCCTCGTCCTGTCATCAGGCATCAGCTGCTAAACAGACTGTTCGTCATGGACTGCTCGCGGAACTTGAGAGCACAGTGGTCCTCAGCACCGGCCCTCATTGGTCTGCGGGAAGGTTAGAGCCACGAGCCAATCAGCGGCAAGGACATGAAAAGCACTGCGCTGCATCTGACCATCGTGCTTCCTGCCTGAACCGCTACGTACCGTGCATGTCAGAAGATGTCAACGTCTGTGGCGCCACATGTTTTGGCTTACATGCTCGCGAATTAACATGTTTGCCACGGCATCGTGCATGCCTTGCTGGATTCTCCAGCTGGTGAGACCAACGGAAACGCTGCCGTCTCCGGGTTTGCATTAACGGTGGGTCTCAGTGCCTGAGGCTGGGAATGCAAAAGCATCCAATCATCAGCCGGCTGCACTTCACGTCCAGGTGCGGGACTGTCCGGACTGCCCCGACTGCCTGGACTTCCTGGCCCCGTCGACACCCGACAAGGATCCATCTCATGAGGTCTCTGAGGTAGCAGCCCGGACTGCTCGGAGCGGCGTCGTGACCCGGAGTTCCGCCGAGACCCCGAACCCCTGATGCTTGAGCCGTGAGACTCTGAGACCCGAGAACGCCGAGAACATCAACACGAGCACGGATCCTGGATGTGCGGGAAGATCTGGGGTCGGACTGCCTGGAGGGAGGCGCAGAGCCTGCGTTCCTGGCTTCTTGCGAAAGTATGCAGCGCACTTTTCAAACAAGGAATCATTGCCGAGCTCAATGCCCTGGCGATTGTTGCCTGAACAAACAACAAGCCGATCGTGTCGCTCAGCAGCGAACACAATCACCTCGCAGTTTGAGCTCCCAGCCGCCGCATTTTCTTGGCAGGTGCCTGCAGGCATGTCATCTGGGTCACCCGCAACGAATGCTCAAAATCAAGGAAGGCTGTAAAACCACAAGCACAGCAAATTGACCACTGCCTTTGCATGGATGGGTGTAAAGCTAGCTCCAGATGTATCGTCTCCTGAATCTGACCTGGCAGGGTGACTCGGAACAGTCTGGTGTCAAATTTTTCGATGTTCCAACCGAACCCATGCTTGGCGACACTTTGCAAGGTCAGCAAGCTCTTCCTTGACCGCAGTGTCTTTTTGGAACACCTGCAAGCAATCCAACGGGAACATTCTTATTCCGCCCTGCCCCCCCCCCACCTGCCGCATGCTTGCTACCACATAAGCTGGCAAACGGATGCATGCATTTTGATTTTTGAAAACCAGGCAAACATTTGCCACTCTGGATCTTGTTCTGCTCAAGTCTTGGTAACCTTGTCCACCACCTCACGACGAGGGCTTCAGTTGGCTGACGAAAATGGTCCTTCCTTGCTCGCCTTTTTGTAATCAAGTGCGCCCGCAGCAGGCAGGTCAGCAGCCTTGCAGATCTCCTGGCTGAGAGGCCAACATCCTAGGCAAAAGACGGACGACCGCGAGAGCAAGTTGCCTCGAATTCCTTGGCGGTGAGCTTCTCACCCAAACTCGTCACCTTCGCCGTCGGGGGTGCAACGGGCTGCATTGCAAAAGTTCTTAGGACCAAACAATGTGCCGCAGCTCTTTCATGTCCACTTGCCCGGAACCACTTTGGTCGAAGGCTTGGAATGCCTCACAGCACACTTCACCCTCTAGCATCCCATTCAAGGCCCGTGCTGCGCATGCTTCTCGCGTGCCGGTTCATCAGCACCTTGCCTGCAGAAGTGCATGTGCCTGCGCCGGGGCAGCGAGACAGACTTGACTTGATGTTCGTTCCAAGTTCAAGTGCGACTTTGAGCCTGCTTCTCTGGCTGACGCGGTTTCTTCGCTGCTAGTTCTTTGAACTTCTCCCAGGACACCAAGTCACTGCCAACCTCGTCCTGGTGACACCGAGCAGGTGGCATTTCAAGAAACATCTGTCACTCACCGGGAACAGGCAGGCATACATCAGAAATGAAAACTGTCCTTGAGCTCTTGCACTTCCTTCTGAGTGAGAACCAATCCCAGTGATCTCAACACGTCCCCCAGCTCGGTGGCCTTGCGGTCAAGCGGCTTCACCAAATACGCCAAAAATCCGCAATCCGTGTCCGTTGGCCTTTATTTTGCCGTCAGAATCCTGCGGACGGTCACACCCCATCACTGCATCCGAACCCCACCATGCGCGGAACCAGAAACTTCTACAGTTCTACAGCCCACGCAGAGGTCCTTGTCGTAGAGGTCGAAGCACTCTTTCCATTCAACCTCCATGGCGCTCTGCCTGTGCATGGAGGTGTGTCTCGCGGAGCAGCAGGAGAACTCTGTCAAACCCTGAGGTTCAAGCACGGTCGAGTGGCGTGCTGGATGTGCACCAGGCTGCAAGCTCTCAAGGCGTTGCGGTGTGGAACACTTCCGCTGGTTCTGGTAATCATCTGTTCCCTTCGAATCCGCGCTTCTCATGTGATGAGTCCCAGAAGCAAGAGTCTCTATATATCTGGTCGGTTTGAGCCGATAAACTCCGTCGATTGGCTCGCTGCGGCCATGCACGTGCCCGATGCGAGGCCCCAACTTCAAATCGTGCCAAGGTCCAAGGTTAGATGGCATGGCCTTAGCTTGTGCTTCACGCCGCTTCTTCTCATAGCCCTTGTCCAATGCCCACACCAGTTCCTGTCCGCAACGCCACATGCTGTGAGATCATTAGATGACGCTACCCATTGCACCTGGCGAATGCCCATGGGGCCGGAGTGATTTGCCAAGATTTCACGCGCCTGCCCCACATTACCGGCTCTACGCTGTAAACGTGGCATGGAACGCATCATGGGCGCGCTCGGCAATGCTGCGCACTAAGCCCATAACGGTGAGAGTCCCTGCTTCAGCGGCCATGCGCAGTTTCGTCAGTGCAGGGTCCTTCGAGCAGTTTGGCTGTCCACGTCAGCGTTTCTTGTTGCAAGCAACGAAAGCAGCGAATCTCAGGCTTCGATTGCTGGTTCGTCAGTCCGGATCAGGAAGCTCGGCAATCTGCCACGGGCATGTCTACGGTGCCAAGGAACCAAGCCAACGCAACACACAAGCGATTACACTCTGCTGTTCGGAGAACGGAGCATTTCTGTCTGGCCGCTAGCCTCCGACTCAGACTCCGTCTCCACGACTTCCTGACTTTCATGTGGCAAATGGGAGGTGGACGGAGCCCTCATCCGAGCGGAGATGGCCTCTTCCTCCTCCTCGGGTTCGGGCTCCACCGGCTCACGGGACCTAACCGCAGTCACGCATGAGCGATGACCTGTCCGTGCGATGCCGAGTGGAAGACCTCATCTTGCGCCAGGCCTGAGTCTGAGTCGCTTGGGACAAGGCTCACCAGGCTCAAGCTTGGCTCTCGCTGCGGCCATGACGTAAAGGCCTCCCGTGCAGCCACAAAGGAGAACAGTTCCTCCTCCCACCTCACGAATTTACAAGCTGTGAAACAACTCACGGTGAATTGCCGAACGGTGATACACACTAGGCCCCGGCGATTGCAAGCAAAGCTCCTAGAGTCAAACCCTCGTCAACTTCAGGCGGCGGTGGTAAAGGTGTGGTTGTATTTGGAGGTTCCTGTCACAAGGTTCCGCCGCGATGTGTCGAATGGAGAAAGCAGGTTCAGGTTGTGCCCCAACCTCCCTGACGACGCGGTACAAGGCGGCGAAAAGACCAGAGCTCTTTGTCGCCAAGCAAGTCCTTGGAAGCAAGCTTCCATGCTCACAACGTGACCGTTTGCCGAGGAGAGCCCAACATCTCGGTGGACACGTTGGTGATGACATGCTTTGAGGACATCCCTGCTGTCGACCTTGGCCAAGAGGTAACATGTTCTGGCCTCCACAGTTGACTTCTAGATCTCGTTGTGGTTGAAGTTCAGCTGGCTGCGGCACACGTTCCGCGTGCTTTGATATCTGCGCCACGAACTGTTCTTACTCTAGGGCTCGTGCCAGGCTCCCAGGCCTTAGGCATCCAGCAATGCACAAAAGTGTAGGCCTGTCGCACGAACATGGAACCTCGACAGTACAAGACTACATCGACTTGGAGAGGTGGACTCGCTGGGCAAAAAGGCTGTGCGCAATTTTTTTCACTACAAAAAGGTTTTGGAAAGAGCTCTTTCAAGCTCCGTGCATCATGGCTCCTTCTTTGGCCATTGGCCGATGCAGGGACCGTGGGCAGTCATGGGCAGTCTCTTGATTTCAAGCCGGTCGTCGAGGCCGTTCATCGTGCTGCTCCCCGCGCTCATGACGAAACGAGGCTTCCTGACTCGTTTGCAAACCTGGCCCAGGGCTCCTCGTCCTCTGCACAACAAGGCAAACAGTGCATATTGGCATATTCTGCTTCCCGTTTCGTGAATGAAGTGCTGGAAGATGGATGAAGATGGCCGCACAGGCAGTGGTTGAGGTCAGGGCCCTCGTCAAAAGCGGCGCACATGAACTCCACCAGATAGCCTTCGAAGGAGCTGGCAGTGGAAAGTCCGCGGATGGAGATTGAAGTTCTGCCCGAGAGAAAGGCCAGGATAAACACCCTCGGGCTGCGAGATGTCAATGTCTATCTCCAGCGGGTTGGTAAGACCTGGCACTTCATCACGGTCTCCTCTTTTCAGGGCTTGGGAACAGACCTGGTGCTTGCCCTTCGCCTGCACTGACTGCATGAACCGAGACCATGCCTTGCTGAAAGATAGGCTCGCCACAGCGTCGCAGATACACACCCTGCAGTTCAGCACAGTGACTGGATGAAGTGGCGACCCGTTTAGCAAGCGAGGCTCCATGCCCACCTTCATAGAAGTGTTCGGCAAGACGAAGTCTGTAACACCTGAATCTGGAAACTACAGCAGTTTGCTCACGGGTCTGCTGGGGCAGGAGAAAGACTCAGAGGCACAAGCCAAATCCACGAGGCGCCCAGAAGCGAGGGTTCAAATTGGACCTCCACCAAACAGAGTAGTGGCGTACAGCATGAAGTACTACTACAAGCACACAGCGACAGTCTAGCGATTTCGCGCACCAGCTGGTGACTTGGACTTCCATCTCGTCGCAGCCCTGTGCGCCCACCAAGCCCAATTGCCTCTGGCAGACTGCAGGGGGGGACGGGGGGTGAGCTCTGCAAGCAAGATGACTCAAAGGTACACAACGCGTAGAATGCGCGAGGAGCTTTCGCGCTTTCAGACACACACACACACACACAGAGAAGGCTTCAACTTCTCTTGATGAATCAGAAGCATCACCATCACTACACCACGCTGCCCTATGCAGTGTAATGACAACTCGTCACATTCAACTCGATGCGCTGTCCATCAGCTACAAAGCTGAAAAGGCCAGCCCCCGATGAATGCCTGGGCACGAGGATCCCGGGAAGCCGGACATCACCTTCGTTGCACTGTGGCACTTAGGGAATAAAACCCCTTGCTTTGGACAAGCTTTGCTGAGACGCGCGAGTCTTGCATCTCGGGGTCTCATGGCCGAAAGGCTTCCTTTTTCTTGCAGCGGGAAGCACATGACTGCCCTGGATTCAAGGTGAAACTCATTATCCTGGCCTTCGACGCATGGGGACATTTTGCCCACAGCAGAAGGCTGCAGCTTGGCTGCTGCAGCAGGTGCTATTGCTGCCGTGCATTAACTGGCCATCGCGTTATTCGATGCCGAAAGATGCTACAATGGTCGATCCATGAATTCAAAGACTCGGGACTCGGGAGGTGCAGAAGCGAGGAGGCATAGACATGTTGACACTGCTTCTTGGCGCGTTTGCTGTTCGGGCTCTTTGTGGTCTTCGTTAAAGAAACTCACAGCCTACTGCAAGAACACATTTAAGGGACATGCAAAAAGCCTTCGGGGAGCCAGGGCACAGGACTTCCTACGGCACAGGACTTCCTACGGCACCACCACGCTGGGAACAATTACCAGGAAAAGCCTGGGGAGCTTGTGCACATTGCGAGGTCTCTGTGCCCTTGCTAATAAAAATCTGGCCTAGAGTCCAGCCAGGGCTTCAAACAGTCAAAGAACATCGAACAGATACAGCGCATGTCTACGTGGATACTGCCCAGAGCAGCAGCAACCTCGGTGGTAAGATCGCCAGTTGCTGTTCAACTGCGAGCACAGGCTGGGAAATACGGCAGGCGATGTCTATCTGCAGCCCAAAGCAACCCAAAGAGCCCAGGTGCAGCACGAGCTGTGATGCAATGAGCCGTCTTGGCAATGGTCGTGTTCCTCAGGCAATTGTTCGTGCCAGAACCAGAGCAATTGCACGCCCTCTGAGCATACTTCTGAACACCAGCCAAACCACGGTAGCAGCGTGACGCTGGTGGTCAGTGTCGCAGTTGTTGAAGTGCCGGTAATGCTTGTCACCTCAGCGTTTCGACTCTCACACTCGCACAAGGCCGGCAAGGCTCCGCATACTGAGGTTTAGGTGCAGCCGTGAAGATTGCTCCCATTCCGCAACTTCGCAAAATCACCAATGAGAGAGCCAAGCTTCTGTGGTGGTTGACTCCTTGGATAACAGTCGGCCGAGCGATGCAGTGCGATTCATCGCCGCCACAGTCACCATCACACACTAAACAACCCTAAAGAGCCCCTCGATCGTCCGTCTCTTCAGGCAGCTTGAAGTCTCGTGAGTCCGACGCAGAGGACAAACCGTTCTGGTACATTCTCGTCAATGCAGCAGTTCTTTTCCAAGCGAAGAGCGAACCCAACCCTACTTCAAGCACAACAAGCCCGAATGACCAGCAACAGTCATCGCGGCCGTGCAGGTGAGGCTCGACTGTGCTGGGAACCCGCATGCTAAAGAACATGTCCTGCGCCAATGCGAATCTGAGATCCGCGGCGGAATGCTTGCACAGATGAAGGACCAAAGAGCAGCCCATGACAGTCAAGCCTATCCAAACAGGTCATTCAGAGGCTTGTACGAGCTGGACTCCAATTGAGATAGAACTTGAACCCACAACTTTGCCTAAGAATGACACACCTGCTTAGGTTTTACCCAGTAACTGAGTAGGGCGTCACGCGAGTCTCGGAAAATTGCTTACAGCAGTCCGTTGTCATGGCCGGGCAGGTGCACTTCCGAGCGTAGCCTCAGTGTGCATCACCAAGACCATGGCAGGGCCGCGGCTTCAACATTCAGCTGGGGCACAAGAGCCATAGCCTTCGAACGGAAACCAATAAAACTCTCCTGACAAAGATTGAATGCACACATGGGCTTGACAAGCAGCCGGATCTTGGCACTTCCAGTTCTCAGAATAACAATAATGCCTCGTCGCCGCCAGCTGCAGATTACAGGGCCCTCGATGTCGCTGCAGACATGGAAGAACACCTGCAGGAGGCTTCCACTGCGCTTTCCCAACATGACTCGACTCTCGACTCTCGTCCAAACATTCCCGAGCAACTTTCGCAGTACGTCACCATGTCACTACAACTTTACAACTACACCCGTTATGTTTATCTTTATCCTCCTGCTCCTCAAAGCCGAACCCCAACCGTCCCAGGCACTGCTCCATTCATCTCTTGCACTCCCATGCTGTCCAAAGCTGTGGTGGTAGTTGTGGTTGTCGTGGTCGTGCTGGTAGTTTCCTGTTTCGATGAGCAAATCGACTTTTGCGGAGTCTTGGCAACATCCCGGAGACTGCAACCAAGCCGCTGTGGGACAATCCTTGGGCCTTGGCTGGATCCCAGGGCTCACAATACAGCTCCGAGTGACGGCCTACCCACCCGCTTGGCATCCGGAAGCCTTTGAACGGCGTGAAACATGGCAACCCTCTCGCGAAGGTTCTTCCGCTTTTGTGTCACCGAAGAAATCCAAACGTCGACTCGTGGCTGTAGGTCTTGACAGCATGTTCCTGTGTGTTGGTGCAGGTCAAGACTTGTGATGTTGTAGGAGAGCTCAAGAAGCAGCAGATTCAGAAAAGGAATCACGACCCCCTCGGTGGCAGGGGTACTCTTCGCCTGAATTGTGGCCGGCGACGATGCATCGACAGTAACAGGCTCCGCTAAACTCCAATCTTCACACAGTACACACATATCACACGCATACGCAGCTGACTGTTATGTGTTTTTTTCCCACATATCTCCAGATTTGGCAGGTCTCCCTAACAAAGCCCGAGGGAGCATTCGCAATTTCGGCTTTCCTGCTCAAGACAAGGTCCTCTGGCATCCGCGGCAAGATGTCGGCTTGCTTTGCTGGTTAGCCAAGTCGACTCTCAGAATGTAACCGTCAGGGGTCTGCGACCCGAGGCCAAAGTGCCTTCTTCCCTGATCGGGTTCGGGTCGCGGCGCATTTCTCCTCTACCACTCTCCGAGATGACAGCCGTGCCGTGCAGCGGAGCTTAAGCAAGTTCTGCTCTCCGTTCTCACTTCCGCACTCCATGCCTTCAAACTTTTGCAACCAAGATCAGCCGAGCAACCCCGCGGCCGTAGCGAGGTGCTCAGTTGTGAAGTGGTCGATGCCGCCCAAGTTTAGTCGAAGCTGAAAATCATGGTTCCCGGCGCTCCAGGCCTTGGATGCTCTCCAAGAGGGAAACGGAAACGCGAGCGAGCCGCAATGAATCGCCCTGCCACGCTTGCAAAGTACATCTGTGGATTCTGAATTTACAACACCGGGGAACTGCACAGCGGCAGGTGGCAGCCTCACCTTAGACACACCCGAAGTCGATCACTGCGAGGCTCCAGGCTCTAGTAAAATGCCTTCAAATTTAGTCGGTGCTGCGGCACATGTGCCGGCACCACCAAACAGGACCCACTCCATATTTTCATCTTCACGCCAGTAGCAGTCCACGGTTGTGGGCGGGTCCTGGAGTGTGTGCATGGGCTGCTTCGTGAAAAACAAACGGCCATTGGGTACAAGTTTTCCTGCATGCAACGAGTCGCGAGCACGAAGTCCTGCTGGAAGATGTCCCGGCAAAGCTGGAAGACGACGGCACCCCCGATCCTGATTGTTGCCAATTGCGTTCTGCTGGAATCGGCCTCCGCCGATATTCTTCTAATACTAAGGATTGCACTGCTGACCTTCGCTTTCGGGCATTAGGCGAACCACACAAAGCGAGAGCTGTCATGCATGAGTTCACATGTCCTCCATTCCGGAGGAATCGTGCGCATGCCAAAGTCTGGACACCTCTTACAAATGAGCAGTTCAATTCAACGGACCCCTGTTAAGGAACCCGATTCGGCTCCCTTCCACTCGGGGCGGGCGCGGCTGCGTGCTGCTGCGTGTGAACCGCCACCCTTGCTCCTCCCGTGGCATCCCCGATTAGTTCTCTTTAAGTTCTCTTTCGACCATACAGACCGGGAGCGTGCTACGCACACGGCACAACGTGCATTTTGCAGTTGTTTTTTGCATTCGTTCTGGTGACAATGCAAAACGGCCGCCATGCATTCATGCGAGCTTGTAGAAATGGTTGGGTGTATCACGACAAGCATCTCAGCTGCTCCCACATACTGCCCCGTGGTTGTCATCGTGGTGGAGGTCATTGTGCTGGTGTCCGGGAGGCAAAACCTTGGATGAAGCATCGCAACAAGTTCAGCAAAATTTAAGGCTGCCCCACATTTTCTATGCCTCTAAGCCACTTCGTTCCAACAGCCCAGGCTTCTATTTCTGTGCTTGAGTATTCCGCCTCATTGATCATGATTCGAACATCGATAACTAGCGTTGTGGTCGTCACAGTGATGGAGGTTGTGGAGAGAGTTGTCGAGGAAGTGTGTGTCCTGGTACTGGATGTTGACGTGGATGAAAGGGTGGTTGTAGATGTCAGAGTGACTGTCGTCGAAGTTGGTGGCAGCTTGATGGCCTCAGTCATGCGTAGCATGCTGCTCACTGCGGTGAGCCAAGAATAACTAGTGCCGGCCTCGTTCTCTATCTGCGCGGTGATGACGATGCCCAACCGTTGCGACATCTGGCTGGACAGGACTGCAGGATCAGGAGATGTCACCGGGGCATCCATTGGATCGGCTGCCAAAAGCCGGGTCGAAACCAGGACCTCCTTGTGTGCGGGGCCCCCGGGCTCCATCCGGGCCTCAGCAGAACGACCTAGATCTAGACCTGGCTGGCTAATTTTCGTGCCTGCTTTCTGTTGCACTACCTCTTTTGCACAACCTTGGACACTGAAAGCTGGGGTGCGAACCTGAACCCCGCTTGCTTCCAGGCTTGCTTGAAGCAAGCTTACATTGGAAAGTTTGGACTGCATACTGCTCAAATCGGCGGCATTGTCGGTCAAGGCATACATATTGAACAAGCTCTGAAGCCTTCGTTCTCCTCCGGGTTCCATGTCCGACTCTGACAAACGTCTGTTGGATCGCACGGAGATCTTGGAAGGATCAAGCTTGGTGGCCGAAGCTGCTGCGGCGACCATCTCCGCATCCCCGATTTGCACAGAAGCCCAAAGCAAGGCGTATGGCATCACGACACGGAACTGCACAGAGTCCATGAGAACCTGACTGCTTCCCAGCCCTGTGCTGCTTTCCACACTTTCCTGGTAAGCTGACGCCCGAAAGTCCCATACGTCATCCAGAAGGAGGACGGCATCGAAAGAAGTGATTGGGACACCAGGGGTGTCAGTCCAACCAGAGGGGCAGTCGGCAGCTGCGGAGAAAGACAGATCCTGCTTGTCGAATGGACAGCGAGAGTCATAGGGAAAGCTGAGACAGTCTGGCATAGAAAGGCATGTGTCGTAGCTGTAATATGCCGCGGCAGAGCCGCTGAAGAGAGTGCTGGAAAGCCTGGTTCCGCAGCCGCTGGACACGAAGCACCAGGCGAGCTGACACCAATTGTGGGTCGATGCACACCAATCTACACCCGGGGGACAAGATGAAGCCCAAGGAGTCCCTGGCATCTGATCCCATGCTGCACAGCCTGTGCCATACACTGATATATGACTTAAATTGCTGTAGCGCCCTGGATCTTCGCTCGGGTACATGGTGTACACCTCTACCGGCAAGTGCATGCCATGAAAGATGCATTCACATCCATCACCTTTGTGCAACCTGTACTTCCGTGCCCCATATGGGTCAAAAGGACATCTGTTTGCACGAAAGTTGCTGTAGCAGTCCGGCGCATTGCCGCAGCTATCATAGCTGTAGAAAGCACCGGAGCCGTCAAACACGCGGCTGGGTAACTGCGTGGGGCAAGAGCTGCTGACGTAACACCATGGCACATGGCACCAGTTCATGTCACCCGAGTAGTTCGCTGATGAAGACAAGCATGTGCTAGCCAGTGGGGCTCCTGGGACAACATCCCAGGAAGCGCAGCTTGTCCCATACAAAGCGATGGTGGACTGGTTCTGGTGCATGCCTGGCCATGAGACAGGGAACTGCCGATATAAGTCCTCAGGTAAGGTCGAGCCCTGGTATATGCAGTCACACACGTCTGACCACCCATAGGGGCAATCAGAGCCAGTCGCCCAATGAGCCAGTGTCGAGTCATACGGACATCCAGGTTCAAGCGGAAGGCGGCAGTTCGGAGTGGAGAAGCATGTGTCGTAGCTATAATGCATCGTTGCCGAGCCGTTGAAGACATTCGTCGGCAGCTTTGAACTGCAAGAGCTGCCCACGTAGCACCATGGAAGCTGGCACCAGTTATTATCTGAATGACACCAGTCTGCACCAGCCGGACAATAGCTAGACCATGGCGTTGCAGGCATCTGATCCCACGCCGCACAGCTCGTCCCATAGATCTTGATTGCGAGGAGCGTTGCATATTTGCCAGGATCCTCGGCAGGGTAGTTCAAGTAAGTCTCTGCCGGCAGCTCCATCCCGTGGTACAAACACTCGCATCCTTGGGACTTGTGCAGGGCATATGATAGTCCCCGCGAGGGGTCAAAGGGGCATCGGGGGTCTGCAAAATTGTTGTAGCAATCTGGCGAATCACCGCAAACATCATAGCTGTAGAAGAGAGTGGCCGAGCCATCAAAGACGGAACTGCGGATGCGCGACTTGCAGGTATCACTGACATAACACCAAGGCACTTGGCACCAGTTGAATTCCTCGTCAGACCAGTCCGATCCAATGGGGCAAAGGTGTGCCCAAGGAGTTCCAGGCACGTAATCCCAGGCAGCGCAACTTGTACCGTAGAGCGAAATGCTCGATAGGTTCACGTATCTTCCTGGCTGCTGAGTCGGGTAGTTCACATACACCTCTTCCGGCAAAACGTCGCCCTGATAGCGACACTGGCATACGTCATTCCACCCATCAGAGCACACCTGAGGAGTTGACCAGCCTGAATCGCTCGAGTCATATGGGCATCTGGTATCAAAGATTTCGTCTCGACAATTTGGCGCGGATAAGCAGGTATCATAGCTGTAGAAAGCCACCTCCGACCCCTGAAAAATGGAGCTGGCAATCCTAGTGCTGCAGTTGGCTCCAACAAAACACCAGGGAAGCTGACACCAGTTATGGTCGCTGGTGCACCAGTCCACACCACCAGGGCAGTAGCTGGGAGTTTCAGGCACCAGATCCCATGCTGCACATGTGCTGCCATACACTGCAATGTGTGGCATGTTCTGATACTTCCCGGGCTCTGTGACGGGGAATCTGGTGTATGCATTGAACGGAAGCTCGAAGCCATGATACTTGCAGGCGCAGTCGCCCCCCTTGTGCACCTGGTAGCTTCGGGTGCTATAAGGATCATACGGACATTTGAGGCTTGTGCCGAAGTGGTTGTAGCAATCAGGTGCTTTGCCACAGGTGTGGTAGCTGTACCACAAGTCCGCCCCTTCAAAGTTGCGAGTGGCAACCTTTGTAACACAGCTGCTGCTTACATAGCACCAGGGCAGCTGGCACCAGTTGAAACCTGGACCGTGACCGCTCACGAGTCTATATTGGAGGATTTCGAAAGTGGTTCGGACTTTCACAACATATGCAAATCATCGAAGGAAGTGACTGGTTGTGGGAAAAGCTGTGAACCAAACAATCCCTTGAAGCCCAAGTTAATCTAACGGTTGGATGCGGATCCTAAGCACAATGGCATGTCTACGGAGGAGTTTTGCTTGCGTGTTCATGGTTTCTTGCCGGGGTCTTTTGTTCGATAAGAAGGCGAGCTAAGGGATGTTTGTCCCCCCGGGGCTGAGCTCTGCCTTACTACCATTTGCCCCCTGCACGCAGCGCCGATTTGGGCTTAGTAGGGGCATTTGTCAAGGTCTGTAGCTTGAACCTGCTTGCAAGGCCGGTCGCCGAAAACACTGCGTGGCTCGGGTAAGAGCGCAGAGTGCAGAAATAAAAAACGTTTTAACACTAGCCCAGTCACTTTCGGAGGACCAGTCGGCTCCGGTCGGACAGAAGATGGAGAGCGGTGTTTGCGGCACCACATCCCAGGCAGCACAGGTCGTGCCATAGATAGCGATGTTTCCCAATGTTGACCACCTGCCAGGCTGGAAGGATGGGAAGTTGTCGTAGACGGCAGATGGGAGCGTGCTGCCTTGATAGATGCAATCGCAAACATCTGACCAGCTGTCTGGGCATTGTTCGGCCGTTGACCAGCCATTGTCGCTCGAGTCAAAGGGACAAGATGCATCATAGGGGATACTGCGGCAATCTGGGGAGGAAAGACAAGTGTCATAACTGTAAAACCTAGTGGCTGGTCCGTCAAACACTGAACTCCGTATTCTGGTGGCACACGAACCGCCCACAAAGCACCAGGGAGTCTGGCACCAATTGCTGCCAGTAGAACACCAATCGGAGCCTGGCATGCAGTAATCATGCCATGGGCCACCTGCTAAGGTATCCCACGAACCACAACCCGTTCCATATATTCGGATGAATGTCAGATTTGCATACTTGCCTGGCTCGCTCAAGGGATATTGCTGAATCAGATCGAGCGGAAGCTCTTCTCCAGCATGGATGCACTCGCAGCCCTGTGCTTTGTGCAGGCGGTACGCCTTTGCATTATAAGGGTCCCAAGGGCAGCGCTCTTCGACATCGAAGTAGTTGTAGCAGTCAGGAGCATTGCCACATGCATCGTAACTGTAATACATAGACGTACCGTTGAAAACACTGGTCGGGCGCATGGTCACACACTCCGGATCCACATAGCACCAGGGCAGCTGGCACCAATTGTACTCAACAGTTGACCAGTCAGACCCCGGCGGACAGAGTGGTGCCAAGGGCGTTCCAGGAACTTGGTCCCATGCCGCACAAGACGTGCCATACACGTCCATATAGGGCAGATCTGCATATCTCCCCGGGTCTTGGGCCGGGTAGTTCATGTAAATTGAAGCTGGCAGAACGGTGCCTTGATATTTGCACTCGCAGATGTTCGACCACCCGTCGCGGCAATCAGAAGCCGTTGACCAACCAGAATCTCTGGAGTCAAATGGGCAGGCCAAGTCGTAGGGAAAGCTGTGGCAGTCGGGTGTCGACAAGCACGTGTCGTAGCTGTGGAATGCGGCTTCCGAACCTGCAAAGACTGTACTCGCAACTCTGCTCGAACAGTTGCTACCTACGTAGCACCAGGGAAGTTGACACCAGTTGTTCGCGGAATTGCACCAATCGCTCCCCATGGGGCAGTACTCGGACAAGGGAGTTTCGGGCACTTGATCCCACGCTGCACAACCTGTGCCATAGACCTTGACGAAGGTTAGATTGGCAAATCTTCCTGGTTGTTCCAATGGATAGTTATGATACACATCGGGTGGCAGCTTTTCACCGTAGTACAGGCATTCGCATCCATGGCCCTTGTGCAGAGTGTAGGAGTTCGTGCCCGAGGGGTCGTATGGACAGCGCTCGTCTGTATCATAATAATCATAACAGTTCGGAGTGTTTCCACAAGTATCATAGCTGTACCAGGTAGTGCGAGAGCCATTGAACACAGAAGAGAAGTGACGAGATGGGCATAGGCTGTCGACATAACACCAAGGGAGGGTACACCAATGGTGAGCAGCACTGGACCAATCTGATCCTGGGGGGCAAAAGCTTGCAAATGGAGTGTCAGGCATCATGTCCCAGCTTGCGCAACTGGTGCCGTAAATCGCAACATTGGCTAAGTGGGCATACCTTCCTGGGTCCTGCCGAGGATAGTTCAGGTAGAGCCCTTCTGGCAAGGATGAACCTTGATAGGCACAGGTACAAACGTCGGACCATCCCATGGAGCATGATGCCGGAGTAGACCAGCCAGAATCTGTCATGTCAAAAGGACAAGCCTCATCAAATGGATCTTGATAGCACTGTGGCGTTGACAGACATGTATCGTAGCTGAAATACGTCATAGCTCCTTCGAAAACTTTACCGTCCATGCGCGTCGGGCAACCCTCTGCCACGTAACACCATGGCAGCTGGCACCAATTGTTCTGCGAATGGCACCAGTCAGCATCTGCGGGGCAATACTGAGCCCATGGAGTTCCAGGGATTTGATCCCAGGCCGCACAAGAAGTCCCATAGACGCTCACATGCGGCAGGCTGGCGAACTTTCCCGGGTCCAGCATGGGGAAGTCCTGAAACAAACTGGGTGGTAACTGCCTGCCGTGGTAAAGGCACTCACAGCCCCTCCCCTTGTGCAACACGAAGTGCTGACTGCCGTAGGGATCAAACGGACATCTGGGGTCAGTGTCGAACTGATTGTAACAATCCGGTGCATTGCCACAGGAATCATAGCTGAAAAAGATGGTACTGGAACCATTGAAGACTACGCTCTGTCTCCTCGATGCACAACTTGAGTCGACATAGCACCAGGGAATCTGGCACCAGTTGAACTCAGAATCTGTCCAGTTGGAGCCAACCATGCACTGCTTCGCCAATGGGGTGCCTGGAATCTGATCCCATGCGGCACAAGACGTTCCATAAATAGCAATGCTTGGCAAAGTTGCGTACATGCCCGGCTCCTCGACAGGAAAGTTCGTGTACAGATCTGCTGGCAAGGTGGCACCCTGAAATACGCACTCACACACATCAGACCATCTGTCTGGACAGTCCGCTGGCGTCGACCAATCGTTGTCCATGCGGTCAAATGGGCAGGCCAAGTCGTAGGGAAAGCTGTGGCAGTCGGGTGTCGACAGGCACGTGTCGTAGCTGTGGAATGCGGCTTCCGAACCTGCAAAGACTGTACTCGCAACTCTGCTCGAACAGTTGCTACCTACGTAGCACCAGGGAAGTTGACACCAGTTGTTCGCGGAATTGCACCAATCGCTCCCCATGGGGCAGTACTCGGACAAGGGGGTTTCGGGCACTTGATCCCAGGCTGCACAACCTGTGCCATAGACCTTGACGAAGGTTAGATTGGCAAATCTTCCTGGTTGTTCCAGTGGATAATTATGATACACGTCGGGTGGCAGCTCTCCACCGTAGTACAGGCATTCGCATCCATGCCCCTTGTGCAGAGTGTAGGAGTTCGTGCCATGCGGATCGTATGGACACCTGGCATCAACTAAATAGTTGCTGTAGCAATCCGGAGCATCTCCACAGATCTCATAGCTGAAATGTGCTGTAGATCCGTTAAAGACGCGGCTCGGAATCTTGTAGACGCACTCGTTGCTGACATAACACCATGGGAGGTGACACCAGTTGTAGTCAGGGCTCGACGAGTTGGACCCGGGCTGACAATGGCTAGCCATGGGCATGTCTGGCATGTAGTCCCACACAGCGCACGATGTGCCATAGGCACCGATGTTGGCGAGATGCATAAATTGACCCGGTGCCTGCAGGGACAGCAGGCGTCCGAAGGAGAAGCTTCATCAACGAATCTTCTGTTCTAAGTTGACGTTTGCTCTCGTAAGGCCCATGCACTTGCCGCCCTGCACACTCTTCGGCCAACCCGGCCCCGCCTGTCAACGCCCCAAAACTAGTGGACCGAGGTTCACCAACTAGCCTCTTATTCTCAAGAAGGCCTTACTTAGATGTTCACATGTTCTTTAATTTCTAACCTGTTTTCGTAAAATGTCACAAGTGCCACATGAGTGAGGAAACGGTGTGGTGCTACAGTAATAATAATTCCACGCATGGGTCAGTTGCATCATATAGTTGTATGGCCCAAAGCAAATCTAACGGGTTTCCCTCAGTGGGCCTGAGTCGGATAATTTGCGTAGAGCTCCTCAGGAAGCACGGTTCCTTGATACTTACACCGACACCTCGGCGTGGCTGGAAGCGGCTTGAATCAAACGTTAAACGTTCGTTCCGACAAGCCTATGCAAAGGCTATCGGCTTGTAGGGCGTATGTGTGCTGCTAATTCAGTTCAGCAGCACATCAGTCCACCTGCATCAGACCGATGTCAGTGAGAGGAGTGCTGTTCAGGAGGCACGGAGCAAGGGAAGTCTGCAAACACAAGTGAAACGTGCAAGCCGTGCAGTGCTAACGCAGTAAGCACTATTGACAAATATTGACAACACAGTTGTGTGCAAGCAAGTTTGCTGGCTTGCTCTGTGCAATCCAGATACCCGTCGAAGCGAACGTCGTTGTTCGTGTCCTCACAATCACTGGCCGTCGACCAAGCTGTGTCTTTGCTGTCGAAGGGACACCGACCATCAAAAGGGTCAGTGTAGCCTCAGTAAGGCAAAGCTTCGGCGAAATGGCATCAGGAACAAGGAGCATCATGTTGACCCTTATGCTGCAGCCCAGATGCAATCTGGCGTGGATAGACAGGTGTCATAGCTGTAAAACATATCAATAAATCCGTCGAACAAACCTCAGGTGTCAATTTGAACGCTGTCACGCAGCATTACCTTTTGCATAACGCGTGACAGATCAGAACTTCATCTGCTTTCCACCCCCCTGGCAGTGGTCTGTTAGCGTGAGCTACTTCCATCCTCTGTCATGTCAACTCGGAAATCCGAGCTGGGCAGAAGAAGGGGACCCTGCCCAACACAGCGGTTTCTTCGTCGAATAAGCTCGCTGGAACGGTGCTGCATGTCACTTCGTGACTGGTGAGTAGATTTGTTCTCGACGAAAGTGCTGGTTATAGTGTACTCGACGCTCGGTCTAGGTTGTTTTTCGAGGAACCATGGACAGGAATAGACAGATGACCTCACTTTGCACAGTCGAGTTGTGAGCCGTGCCTGTCTAAAGTCCCAGACTCATTGTCTGAGCTCTAGACGCTAAGTCGCTAAGCCACTCAATCCGTTCCTAGTGTCCAGGTCTTGAGGTATATACCGCTAGATTTGCAGGCAGACTTCACAGCTTGAGGGGCTAAACCGTGTACCTCGCGCACGGTGTGACTCAACAGTGCTCACCAGTTCTGCATGTTAAACCATGGACAGCAGCCGAACGTGGAAAACGCATCACTAATGATGAGAACTCGAACATATTGGACTTGACTCGCGAGTAACGGCAGATCAGCGAAGAACATACCGATTTGCCGCCAGGGTTCGTGTTCGTAGCTTGCTGGAGCACTCCCAGGATACATAGCCTCGCCAGCGTCGATTAGCATGCACAGCTTATTTATTCTGCGAGCATCGAAAAGTTGGAAAGTCCTAGACGGAAACCGAGCAACACCAAGGCAGCTGGCACCAGTTGAAATCTGAGTGACACCAGTCCTCAGATTTCAGAAATGCATATACACAGCTGAGACATGTATTTTTGGCATTCGCTCTCGACGAGGTCAGGCGAGGATCCCAGGTGAGGTTGAGACATGTATACAAATGTGTGCGTGTTTCCGAAGTGTGTGTGTGTGTGTGTTTATCTGAAAACTCTATACATTAGGTGCATTGAAGCCTACTTTCCGGCAGAACTAGTCTGAAAGCACTTCCTTCACGCCAGCGTTGAGAGTCTGGCCCATAAACTTATAGCTCAATGTAGGCAAGGGGTATACTCTGACAGAATGATGACAGCATGGACCATGAAGATTCTTTCAGGTCAGATGCTACACACCTGTCAGCACCGATGGTCGCACGGTACATATTGTAAAAGCAATGATGTAAACGACGTACGAATGCCTGGGAATAAAGCCCAATGCGTAGTGAGGTTCGGATGAGGATTATGCAGAAACCGCTATCCAAAAGTATATGTATTTGCTGCTTGGGAAAGGTAGATAGGATTTGCAGTCATCGGAGTATGGATAGCAACGATTTGGACGTGAAAACCTATATGATGTTGGATCCACAGAGGTCATACAGCATGGCTTCGAGTTTTGTTGGCACCCGCCTTTGCGGGGTCGTTGTGCTCGATACTCAAAATGCAGAACGCGGGCACATGTAGAGGTGCAAACATGTAGCTGTGTTGAATTGATTGTGGAGATTCGTTCATGTGGGACATCTGGGAGACAGAGACCATGCAGGGGATTGCAGATCAGGATGGTTGGGTTGCACGCAATTTGTCTACAACTGGCATGAAGCTGCGAATGCTTCTCTCGAGATGGATCCGATGCCAACCTGGTATAAGCCTTGCCGGTTGCAGGTGTACATGTCTGAGCTTTGGATGGGCAAGCATAATAAATCATAAAGGAGCTGCATGCGTATGTGTCTGCTTGTCTGCCAAGCGAAAACGGCATCTCCAATTATGGTCTCATACGTCGTCTTGGCGTCTTTGATGCGGTGTTGAGCCCATACCGACATTCTCAGCACGAAGCCCCAAGCCCCCAAGCCCCGAGAAAAAATCCGAGTGGCGGCATCGCGAGGACAGTGCTCTGCCAGGGGAGTTTCCGGCATTTGATCCCATGCTGCACAGGTTGTACCGTAAATTCCAATGGCTGTCCTCAGATATGCATTTTTTCCATGGACACTTCTGCAGAAAAAAGCAGTCCTAGACTTGGGGCCAAGTGCTTCTGAGCGTCAGGTTAGCATAGAGTCCTGGGGCAAGCAACAAAGCAAGCTGGCGCTACCCACTCCCCGAGGGCATGAAAATGGTGAAGCGTTGGCCAGAACCGGTCAGCGCATGACGCATGAGGTTGTGATGATGCTGTTCGTCTGCTGTTCCAGCTTCATGTGCCAGACTTACTACGTCTACGTCGAGTGGCCACGCTGGTGAAGCGGAAAGTTCTCGTAGATGTAGCTCGGGAGCCTTGAACGTCTTCAATCTTTGCTCAGGCGGTGCATGGACGCATGTGGGCGTGGCTTTCGAAATTCACTGCCGTACGAGGTGCAAATCCCCTTGATAGACGCATTCGCATCCACTGCCTTTGTGAATTTTGTATGACCTGAGAGGGTGCTGGCTTTGGTGAACATCATGATTCTCGCACTTGTTCAGCGCTTATAATACTCCTGAGGGCCGAGGCTTCGTCCCATACGGATCATACGGGCAACGAGGGTTTGCGAAGTCGTGGTAGCAGTCTGGCGCATTCCCGCATGCATCGTAGCCTCAGGACACCGCTGGCGTGACGAGAATGCAGAATGCAAATGTCGTCCTCATTGCTATTTCTTCTGCAGCTGGGCATCTGAAGTATGACGTGTTTGACCCATGGAAGAGCTGCGTCCTCAGTCTTGTTGGACAGGCTGAATCCACCTCAGCTCCAGGAAAACACATTCCGGCGGCATTGCATGTTGAGCCCCGAGATAAACAGTGGCAAGCCACGTAGCACCAAGGAAGTTGGCACCAATTGTATTCCAAGTCGGTCCAGTTCGATCCCGGCTTACAGTGTGCAGAAAGCGGTGTGTGTGGCACCTGGGTAGAAAAACGAAGCGATATGCTTGGAGTAGAGCCTCCCACTGACTAAAGTTGGCAGCTTTCACAAACGGTGCCCCTGGATCAAAGGGACCTGATCCCACGCAGCGCAGGTCGTACCATAGACTGCCTCAGTAGGCTAGCAATGGTTGCCAGCTATTCTCACATACTCACCGATGATGGCTAAGCAAAGCGAGGCAACAGTTATAGGCAACTCAGCAAAGTCTCGATGTTGCGGTAGTCCTTGAACTTACCTGGAAATTCCAAAGGGAAGTGCCGGATGAGATCTGCAGGCAGTTTGGCACCCTGGTATATGCAGTCGCAAACATCAGACCAGTCGTAGGCGCACTGTGAAGGAGTGCTCCAGCTGGAATACGTCCAATCGAAAGGACAGGCATTATCACATGGCAGGTCCGAACAATCTGGAGTGGACAAGCACGTGTCGTAACTGTGGTAGGCCGCTGCTGAACCACTGAACACTGTGCTGACCACTCTGCTTCGACACCCTTCGCCAACGAAACACCACGGCAGCTGGCACCAGTTGTGCTCGCTGTGGCACCAATCCGCATCACGCGGACAGTGCTCGGCCCAAGGACTTCCAGGCATTTGGTCCCATGCTGCACAGGTTGTACCGTAGATGCTGACGTAAGTGAGGTTTGCAAATTTCCCCGGCTGGTTGCTGGGGTATGAGCTGTATACCTCAGCCGGAAGAGCCACTCCGTGGAACAAGCACTCACAGCCATCTCCCTTGTGAACCTTGTAACTCTTGCTGCCGTATGGGTCGTACGGACACCGCAGATCTTGCCCGAAATCATGATAGCAATCTGGCGCATTGCCGCAGGAATCATAGCTGTAGTAGAGCATCGATCCATTAAACACCCGAGTTGGAATCCTCGAAGCACAGGAGCTGTTCACGAAGCACCATGGTAATTGGCACCAATTGAAGTCCGCACTCGACCAATCCGAACCCGGTGCACACCTGCTTGACACGGGGGTTCCAGGCACTTGATCCCAAGCAGCACAGCTTGTGCCGTATACACCGAT